GACAGCTTGAGGCTCTGTCTCAAAAAAAATTCCGCTTTATATACTGGTACATAAAGTTTAATTTACCTGAGAACATTAAAGAAAATTTTTAAGTAAAAGCATAACTTAAAGAACATCACTAATGCTCCTCTAAGTGTTATTTATTATAGCAGTAACACAGGAAATAAGCAAAATAATGATAAAGTAACAATTAGGTAAATGTTTGTCCAAATGGAAGAATATGCAGTTACTTAGATTGATGTGCCACTATTACTGCTACTCTCCACATCTAATGCTTGCAAACATAGAGGAGAAAAAGGGTCAAAAGAAATTTTTTGGCTATTATGTTTCTTTCTTAAAATAAGATAATATAAACAACTAAAAACAAGTAAAATATGCAAACATTCGATTAAAAAACTAGCATAGAGTAGGTACCACCTTCAGTAGGATTCTTGACATGTTTTGCTTTAGAATCAGATTATGAAGAGATTTCTATGCTATATTGATAAATAAAATTTCATTGATAATATTTTCTTTTCTTTTCTTTTTTTTTGAGACAGAGTCTCAAGCTGTCACCCTGGGTAGAGTGCCATGGTATCATCATAGCTCAAGCAACCTCTAACTTTTGGACTCAAGTGATCTTCTTGCCTCAGTTTTCTATTTTTAGTAGGGACAGGTCTCTCCCTTGCTCAGGTTGGTCTTGAACTCATGAGCTCAAGCAATCCACTGTCGCGGCCTCCCAGAGTGCTAGGATTATAGGCATGAACTACCACATCTGGCCTGATAATATTTTCAGAGATAACAGTAAACTAGAACAGGATATTGGTAGATGGCTCCAGATAAAAATTCACCAATGTAATAGCTTGGTGAGGTAGCAAAAAATTGTCTGTCCTATGGTCTACTGAATTTTAAAAATTTAAAGCATAAGCTAAATTAGAACGCTTTTTAAAAAACCAACCTCCAGGCTATATGCAGTTTTTTGCTCACGCCTGAGCTCCCGGGTTTGAGACCAGCCTGAGCAAGAGCAAGACTCCTATCTCTAAAAGATAGCTGGGTGTTGTGGCAGGCACCTGTAGTCAGGAGGCTGAGGCAAGAGAATTGCTTGAGCCCAAGAGTTTGAAGTTGCTGTGAGCTATGATGCCTCAGCACTCTTCTGACAAAGTGAGACTCTGTCTCAAAACAAAAAAGAAAAAACAAAAAACCTCCAATCAATGAAATAATTGATTCAGGCAAGGATCAATGGATGCTAAAATCATTGGGTAAAATATTGTTGGGGAAAAAGAATATTAATGCAATCTCAGGTATCACCCAGATATCATTATTATTATTTTTGGGACAGTCTCACTATGTTGCCCTCGGTAAAGTGCTGTGGCGTCACAGCTCATAGTAACCTCAAACTCTTGGGCTTAAGTGATTCTCTTGCCTCAGCCTCCCAAGTAGCTGGGACTATAGGCACCCACCACAACGCCCGGCTATTTTTTGGTTGTAGTTGTCACTGTTATTTGGCAGGCCCAGGCTGGATTGGAACCCACCAGCTCTGGTGTGCGGCTGGTGCTCTAGCCGCTGAGCCACAGGTGCCGAGCCTCACCCAGATATTATTAAATACAAAGGAAAAAGGTAACTTTACATTGAAGAAATATGGCATATACCAAATTTCTTAACAAAAAGATCAATCTATGGCTGCACATGGTGGCTCACACCTGTATTCCTGACAGTTTGGGAGGCCTGGACAGGAAGATTGCCTGAGACCAACAGTTTGAGGTTGGGGTTGCAATGGGCTATATGATGACACCACTGCATTCTAGCTGGGTGAAAGAATAAGATCCTGTCTCAAAAAAAAAAAAAAAAAAAAAAAAGCAAGCAAAGCAAAGAAAAGAAAGTACCTTCTTCCTACATTGGGAGAAAATACCACTTTATGTAGTGTTTTTGCTGAAAACATTTAACCTGATTCTAAACATAAACAATCAGACAAAACCAAACCAAGCAGCATTCTCAAAACTACTAGCCTGGAGTCTTCAAAACAGTGTTTCTTAAAGGACCAGAAAAAAGGGCCAGGCACGCTGTTTCACACCTGTAATCCTAGCATTCTGTGAGGCTGAGGCGAGTGGATTGCTTGAGCTCTGGAGTTCAAGACCAGCCTGAGCAAAAGTGAGACCCTCATCTCTAAAAAAAAAATAGCCAGAGGTTGTGGCAGGTGCCTGTAGTCCCAGGTACAAAGGAGGCTGAGGCAAGAGGATCACTTGAGCCCAAGAGTTTGAGGTTGTTATGAGCTATGATGTCACGGCACTCTGCCAAGAGTGACAAAGTGTAACTCCATCTCAAAAAAAAAAGACCAGAAAAAAGAAAAGGTAATTTTGCTAAATTAAACAACAAGGCTTAGGAGACATGAAAGTCAAATACAATACATCATGATTCTTGATTGGATAAGAAAGGAAAAAATGTAACACAGAACATTACTGGGATAACTTAAATATGATCTATATAATATATCATTAAATCTCTTGAATGTGATCATAGTATTGAATATATAAGAGAAAATCCTTTTCTTAAGAGTACCATGCTGGACTACTTTCTGGTGAAGTAACATGATATCTGCAACTTTCTTTTAAATGGTTCAGAAAAAAAAGTAAGTGCATATTAGAGAGAATGAGATAAAGTAAATGTGGCAAGATGTTATAAAAGGTAAAGCTAGGAAATATGGGTGTTTACTGTATGATTTCTCCAAATTTTAAGCTTGAGATATTCCTTTTAAATATTAGAGGAGAAGCACATATGTATGTATTTGCCTTTATATTCATGTGAAAATAGGCTGTGGAAGGATACATAAGGAACAGTAGGAAGGGAACCAGGAGACAGGGAATGGAATGGAAAAAGACAACAGGTGTGGATGGGAGATTTCTTCACTGCATGCTATGTTGTACCTTAAGTTTTACTTAATTATATAAATGTTTTATATACAATACTTAAGAAATTAATAAAATAAAATTAAAACAAAGTTCTAGCAAAATTTACTATGATGAGATCATACTGGTTTTCTTCTGAAGTTCCTAGGGAAATGCTCAGCAGTATAGATTATCCAAACATTTAACATTTGTAATTTTCTTCTTTTATCTTAGTGAAGGGTGTATCAAAATCACTGTGTCAGGAAGGATGGTAGGCAGATTTTGTTCAACCTTACACTCTAAATGGCCATGCTTTCAGCACATGAGAATCGCTGATCATAAAAGTATTCCTGGGGCAGGGCCTGTGGTTCAAAGCAGGGCTCTGGCCCCATATACCTAGGGTAGCGGGTTTGAACCCAGCCCCAGCCAAACTGCAACAACAAAAAAATAGCCGGGCATTGTAGCAAGTGCCTGTAGTTCCAACTACTCAGGAGGTTGAGGCAAGAGAATCACCTCAGCCCAGGAGCCGGAGGTTGCTGTGAGCTGTGACGCCACGACACTTTACTGAGGGCCACAAAGTGAGACTCTGTCTCAAAAAAAGAAAAAAGTATTTCTGATGACAATATATAAATGTAAATGTGTGGAAGAGAAAAAAAGATGAAGATGTAGTAATTTATACAAAATGATTGTAGTTTGGCCCATCATTTTGGCACACTTCTACCACCACCTCAGATTAAAGCAACAAAATCCTTATTGTCAGGTGTATCATAGGACCTGGTAATAGAAAGTACTTTGTTCCTAATACCCACCTGAGGGCCCGCCGCTCTGGATAATCAAGGTCATAACTTTGCATAGAGTCATTGCAGGAGTCCCTGGAACTGCCCTGAAGTAGCAGCTGCTGTGGCAATTGCACTTGCACAGGGAACTGGTGCACAGAAGCATTGGGCTGGGAAGTCGTATGGTAAGGAGGTGGGATGCTATTGCTGGTCTCACTTCGATAATCACTATCTCGGTCATCCACGGCACTATCAGGGTCTTCAAAAGCTATGGAATAAGCACAGTCAATCAGAGCATTCCCTCTTTATTTAACTCTTCAGAATTTTTCCTGCTTCTAGCTTAGTAGACACAAGGCTGAACTTTGAGAACAAAAGCAAACTGAGCTGCACACGAGCCCAGTGACCTCAAAACCACGAACAGAACTGTCTTAAGTAATACCCACAAATCTCTCTTATCAAATGAGATAAGACATTTGGTTTAATATTAGAATGGATTCCTAAAGAAACTCCAAATTATGTTTTCCCAATGTAGAACACTCTGAAATTCTGCTTCTCTAGCTATCATAAGCTTAATTAAAATCTGCTTTTTTTTTTCTATTTTTAGTAGAGATGGGGTCTCAGTCTTACTCAGGCTGGTCTCAAACCCCCAAACTCAGGAGATACACCCATCTTGCCCTCCCAGCGTGCTATGATTACAGGTGTAAGACACTGCACCTGGCCCTAAAATCTGCTTTTAAATGTCACAAATAGATTTTGATCTGCTACTATTATCAAAGGTGGGGATATGGGGCACAGGGAATATTTTTTCCACATCTTACAGAAATTTTTGTTTAAAGTGGGGTGGTGTTCTTAGACTTTAAAATGCATGAACTGACCCAATAAACTGTTCCAACATCTGAAGCTGATACTGGAAATTCGGAAGGTCAAAGCCCAGACTTAGAAGTCAAGCACAGGCTCTAGACACAGCTGAGAATAGCACTAGTCTTACTACTTGCTGCAATGTGGGTTTTTCTAACAATTCCTGTCAAGCACCTACAACCTGGGGTCAGAATTCCCATTCTGAGCACTGGCAAAGAGGAGAGGAAAATCTATGCACTGCCAGTGGGATCTTGCTGACAAGGCAGCTAGGTTTATCTAACAGTAGTGACTACAATTTCATAGAATTATTTCTGCTTTTCAGACTAGCACCTGATCAGTTTTTTCCCTAATATTAGCTAAAATGACCAGTTACAAATAAATACTGTGCTGGGAAAGGGAGCTCAGCCTAATAGTACTTTAATGCTTTGTACTGTTTCATAGGGAAGAAGCCATATCTGACATGATACCCATATATGTGTGATTAACAAGGCCCTACATATCCTTTCTTGCCAAGTCCCTATTTGGCTCATAATGAAAAAAAGGAACATTCACCATCCCCAAAAGGAGATACTTTTAGTGAATAATGAACTCCTTATGTTGGTAATTTTAAGATAATATTAGTAGCCACGTGGACAGCAGAAGCCACCTGGAGACCCTAGGATTAGTCTTTTCAATTGCTCAGGCAGGAGATATAAACCCAAATCCATGCACTGGAAGTGGAAAAAAGTTAATGACCTAGAAAAAGAAAATTCCATAAAGAATTGACAAAACTTGGGGACAAATGGAAGGTAATAAGGAAATGACTCCTTGCCTTCTATTGGACAACCTGGTAGATATGAATTCCACTGAAAGATAAACATATGGGTTTTATAGGAAGAAACTTTGAGCACTGGATTTCAGATAACATTTGTGGGTATAGCTGAGGGGTAGAGGTAAGACGATCTTACGAGATTTTCACATTTGAGTTTATGGTAACATGTTAGTATAAAAAAAAAAGGAGAGGAAAATATCAACATGAAGAAGAGGCTAACCTTCAAATGGTTCAGAACAATTATTAGTAAGACTGCCAATTAAAACAAGTAGTCCTTTGACCAGGGCAGGATCAGCAAAAATTGAAAGCAAAACCAAACAACAGGGATGCAAGCATTCTGCTTACAAAGCATTCTGACACATAGGAAAACAGACTTCAGAGGCATTGATTTTAGCCCTTGATGCATTTGTTCTTCTAAAGACTAAGAAAGGATTCAGAGACAAAACCAACTTGCCATTCAGACTTAATTCTCTCTAAACCTATACAAGAAATAAGTCTGAAGAAGTCGGGACTGGACTATTCATGCATACAGATGAAGGGGCAGAGATAAGAAAGGAGACAAAATGAGAAGTCTGCTTGAACTCCAGCAGGAAAAGCATCAGCACAAAATCAAAAGAACTAAGATTCATTTCCAAAGAGGCAACAATGATAGTCAACCCTATTGATTATGAAGTCAAAGTGTGTAGCTTAGCCAGAGTTGGGAGCCCACAGTCCAAAGAAAATACTCGCAAGGACCCTTACTTTCTCGCTGCATCTGACCCATTGTTCCTAAATAATGCTTTGCTTTATTTTGCTAGGCTATGGGGAAGAGTACTCTACAACTTTCCTAAAAGCTAAGGATATTTCTATGCTAAAGAAATCAAGGGAAAATATTAAGAAACAAAGTGTCCATGGAAAGAAGAGACAGAGAGAAGAAGAAAGAATATGGAAAGCAGAATGGAACAGGATAAAGGAAATATAAAGAAGTGAAGTGCGACAAAGGAGAGGAATAGAAAAAAGCAGGGAGAAGAAAAGGCCAACTTTTCTCCCCCACATTACCTCTTATTTCTCTAAAAAGGAAACCTCCTGGCACCACCAAAGTAGATTAGAAACTAAAAGGGGAAATTTAGGAAAATGTGTACTATTTCAGCTTGGATAAAAGAACTGTTTTTAGTGTGTCAGTGTCAATCTCTTGCCAACTCTACAATCTACTCCACAGCACCATGTCAGACCAGAAAACTCCCGGCTAAAATCTGAGTACAGATTTGATTAGTCAGCCTAAGGAGGGACCTGTGAGCTAGTTTGAAGACAAAAATTGAAAGGCCTCAGCAAAGTATCTGAAGAATAGAAAACTCAAAAGCTATGAACACTTACTCGTTCCAATATTTATTGAGTGCCTACATGTGGAAGGCTAAACAACACTGAAGACTCAGAGTATACAGTCTAATAGGAGAGAGAAAATATAAATACAAATATTGGAAATTATACAAGGAAGTTACTACCATGAGAATAGCACAAACATGATTTGTGCTATTTGAGTTAAAAAGAAAATAAAATCATTTCCTCACACAGTGAGTAAGGAAAGCTTTATGGATGTTAAGACTTGGTGGTGGGGTGGGGGGATGCCTTCTAGAAATCCAGATAAAAGCAGTGGCATGATTAAAGGCCCAGTGGTGGGAAAGGCTATTTTTGAGAAACAGTTTGTAGTTCATTTAGCAGATGAATAAAAGGACATGGAGAGAATGAGAAAATAAACCTGAAAAAGTAAACTGGGGAAAGTAATCCAACCTGGGCAAAGAAGGCCCTCCAAGCACACAATATGCACACAAAACTGAATGAAATGCACAACAATGAGGCTCTCTGGTAATGTAGTACCCCTGGACTGAGTCCTTGTCTTTGAATCCAGAGCACAGCTGGAACTTTATCAGCCAAAGAAAGGAAAGAAAATTCATACTTTTTTCATGGCTTGGTTACTTTTGTCTTTTCTTTTTTTTTGAACCAATTGTTTTATAGTTCTTTCCCACAGACCTAACAAATAGTCCTGTGGGTAAAGCAAAACCACAACATTATGCTATGAGTATGAGGCATTTCCAACAATGTGTGGCTACAGAAAAAGCCCCAATGGGATAGACCTCAACTGGTTACTTTTTTCTGTTTGAAAGCCTTAACTTATTTGAGCTCTTTTAGGCTTCTGTTGATTCATTCCCTAACAGCGAAATACTCAGGATTCAAAATCACAGAAACTACATACCTCATGAGAAATTCCAGTGACAGGGCAAGATTTGGGCCTTCTTAGCACCTGTTAGATACTTAATCATTGAGCTTCAACCAGATCCCCTTTTCAGATGTTTAACACAAACAGTAATGTCAGAGCTGTGTATTTTGTTAGCGAGAATGGGCTTCTCATTCTCTAAGTTGTACAACAAAGATGGCCTCCAGCCTAGTTGGGATGCTTCAAGGAAAGTCAAAGCACCCCCTCAGCCTCTTGTTTTCTTCACAAGAGGATTTTGGTTGAAATGACATTCATGTTTTACTAGCCCAACAATCTATTCTGCATATCTCACCAGTCTTAGTATTATATAGACAAAAAGCCCAGCCAAATCAAAATGCAAACCAATTACCTGAGACTAGTTCATCCTAGAATGAGCCTTTTTCTTCTGGTCACAGCACTCCTTAGCCAAGGGACCAAAGCAAAGGGTTTCTTATACTCAGGAACTGACAGTATTACTTGTCATTGGGGAATAATAATCAGGATATAGTGTTGGAATGGTGACTAGAACTTTGGTTTAAAATCTATCATAAACACACACACACAGAGTCTTAAAGAAATCAGCCTAAAAGGATATAACATTCCACAACAGGTAATTGTCTCCTGAAATTTAAGTGGGAGAGGAGAGGAATGGAATTATGTATGTTTGTATGCATGAATATCCAGCTTCACCATTCAGAGGAAGTATATTAAAAGGTAAGATCAAGAAAATTAGAAGGAATTGTAGTTCTTACGTACTTTGCTGTTCTCCCCAGCCCAGATAGGTCCAGTGACCTAAGAAAACCGTAAAGAAGAGCAAAAGAGTGACAGAGATAACTTTAGAAGGAATTCAAAGATCATCTCCCCATCCCACCATTATAGGCCTTACCTTGCCTGAGCCTGTCCCATTTGTATTCCACTAACTTTATATAACAGAGTATCTGCCTTCTACCAAAAATAAGACAAATCTACACTTGTTGCTCTCTGCTACCCCCTACAAAGAGACTAATAAAACAAAACTACTGCTTACATACTATCCTCCTTTTTAAAGGATTGAGATCTTGCCATGTTGTCTGGGCTGAACTCAAACTTCCAGGCTCAAGAGATCCTCCTGCCTCAGCCTCTTGAGTAGCTGGGACTACAGGTGCCTGACACCATACCCAGATCTCCATACTGTTTTATACCTCCTTCTGGCCTAGGTTTCTGTCAGGACATCATTATTTAGGAGCCCATGTACTCTACCTTAGTCAAAAAAAAAAAAAAAGAAAGAAAAGAAAAGAAAAGAAATTCTTGATCTCCTGCTCTATATTTACCTCCTTGTCTATATTTACCAAACCTGAGCCTACCACAGTATCTCCATGAGGAGCTCAGCTCTGATCCCATGGGTAAAAGAGTGATTCCCTTGTCTGGAAATAGTGATGTCCAATTTTGTTGCTCTCTATTGAAAGTTAAAAGGCCAAAGAATAGCAATTTTCTAGTAAGTAATAAAACATTCTAGCATACTGGATCCATAGAGATAGCTCCTTTTTTCTGAATTACTTATCAATTTTTAATAAAACCTATTAAAGCACAATCATTTTGAAGGGCAAAAAAAAACCGAAAGCATTTTATTAATTTTTCACAAAAATCAAAAACCCAATATTAATTAAATTTAAATCCTATCTCATACCCAAACATATAATAATTAGAGGCAACTGACTGTGATAAAGAAATAATAAAAAAGAGGCCTTTAATCACAAGAAATAAGGAGTAGGTTAGTTTCATAGTTAAAAATATGGGTTTTAAAATCTCAGTTCTTCAGGCTATGCCACTTACTGACTATATGACTGATCTTAAAAAGTTTTTGAAAAGTTATTATAGGTATTTCTTCAATTATAATATAAGAATAATAATAATAGCATGAGTCTCACTGGGTTATTGTTAAGTATTATATGAGGAAAAGCATGTACAATGCTTAGCACAGTCCCTGGAACATGGTGAGCTACTAGCATGTGTTGTTGTTTTATCATGCTTGCCAGGTTTTTGCTTGTCTTATGGGTTCCTAATAAATAGGTGGCAGAAAGAAAACAACGCTCAGGACCATATACAGGGAAAGCCCTTCTGACAGACCTAAGGTCTACTAAGGGATCTTCAACGTCTGTCCAGAAAACCCTCAGAGTTCTAAGTGTGGCTCCCTTGAAAGTCTGCAGTAAGACTCAAAATTCTGGCAACATCAGATGATGCCAGCCTTAGCTGGTTTCATTACTTGAGTTAACCCCCAAACCTGGGCACATGGTACTACTAATCAGTCACAGGCTGTTTAATTTAGCTATACACTGACAGCCAGTTCTCTTCCCATGTACCACCTAGGTCTCTCTTCTCACCTCTCAGAAAGGATATGTTGGACTAGTGTGCCATTATTAAATTTTAATAATTTAACTTTCTAAGCATGGGGGGAGGGGAGGTAAAAGAAAATGCTCCTAGGCTATAGCACAGTTTCCATAGCAACTGCTAGAGGGTAATTACCTTATTTCTTTTTAGAAGAAAATGGAAAAAAAATAATCACATAGAGCCTCAGAATATGTCTATCAACCTAGATTGCTCCAGGCAAGTGACAATGCCATTTCTCACTATAACTCTGAGCCCAAAGAAGCATTTCCCTGCAGAACACTGCCACATCCTTAAGCATTCCATGGCTCCACGCAGTAGTTTCTTATATATAAAAGGTGCTCAGTAAATATCTATTGTATTAATAATCTGAACGATCCCATCTACTGAGCCCATCCCTAATCCATTGTAAAAACAACAGACATGCTTTCTGACAAATCGGTTCCCCATTTTCACCACTTTAGCCCAGTTCCATTGTAAAAGAAATAACATCGGTTTAATTAAGTTTTCTTTCCTACCCCCAAAGTGTATTTAAACATGTCACTAGCCAGTAGAACAATTACTAAGGATAGTTAGGTTTTGCTAGGCGTATGTATCAAGAAAGGAAAGGAGAGATGTCCCAGAAAAAAAAATACATACAAAGACACATTTTGTGAACTGAAAATAGTTCTAGCATATTTGAATGAGAGGCTATAGTTATTAAAGAACCTGATCACGAGGAGACTTAAGTAATGCTAGGAATTTGGAATTATCTAGAGGCCAATACAGAGGTATCACAGCTTTTAAGAGGAGAGACAAGATCAGATTTGCCATTTTAAGAAAGAACAGTGCAGGCTCAGCACCTGCATTCATCAGAGCTGGTGGTTCAAGTCCAACCCAGGCCTGCCAAACAATGACAACTACAACCAAAAAATAGCGAGGTGTTGTGCCAGGCGCCTGTAGTCCCAGCTACTTGGGAGGCTGAGACAAGAGAATCACTTAAGCCCAAGAGTTTGAGGTTACTGTGAGCTGTGACGCCACAGCACTCTATCGAGGGCAACATAGTGAGACCAACATAGTGATCCAAAAAAAAAGAACAGTGTCCAGTGGTGGTTGTTGTGGTGGGGGGAGGGTTAGTAAATGGTATAAGCAAGACTGGTATAAGGAGGCTGTTATGTTCATGTGCTGATAGCCTGAACTAGGGAAATGGTAGAGGGAATGGGAAACAGTGGATAGATTTATGAGGTATTTTGGAGCTAAAATCAATAGGGCTGAATGAGTAACTGTGGAAAGTGAGCAGAATAAGAAATGTTATTGCTTAGTTTTTAACTAGAGCTACTGGATGAACATGACATCATTTACTGAGAAGAGAAACACAAAAGGGGGCAGGCTGAGGGAGATGATGAATTAGGCATACTGACTTTAAGGTATCTGTGGGATATCTCAAATGACCCTGTCCAGTAGACAGCCAAATATACTGGTGTGGAGCTCAGGAAAGAGACATGGAGCAGAAGACGTGGAAGTTTTCAGACTATAAGCTCCCATGAGGGCAGAGATTTTTCTGTTTTGTTCCTCTGCTGTATCTTCAATGTTTAATAATACCTAGCACATAGTAAAAGCTCAACAAATACTTATAAATGAATGAATAAAAATAAAAATGCAAGTAAATATTATAAGAACACTAAGGCAGAGTATAGGTCAAAAAAAAAAAACCCCTACATAAGAAAGGGACCCTAAAGAACAACATTTAAAAAGCAGACGGAGATAGAGGAAAAGGGAGGAAGAACTGACAATACAAAGGTCAATGAGGCTGTGGAGAAACTGGAATTCTCACACATTGTTTTAAGAATGCAAAGTGACAGAACACTAGAACACTGTGGAGAACAATCTAGGCATTTCTTTCTTTCTTTTTCTTTTTTTGGAGATAGGGTTCCACTCTGATGCCCCAGTTAGAGTGTCCTGGTGTCAGAGCTCACTGCAACCTCAAACTCTTAGACTCAAGTGGTTCTTCTGCCTCAGCCTCCTGAGCAGCTGGGACTATAGGTATGCACTGCCAGGCCTGGCTAATTTTTCTATTTTTTTTGGGGGGGGGGTAAAGTTGGGAGTATGGGATGTTCCTCCTCTTGTTCAGCCTGGTCTTGAACGCCTAGCCTCTCAAAGTACTAAGATTACAGGCACCAGGCCTAATTTTAATAAGAATTTCTTGAGGCTCTTATTTAAAATAGAGATTCTTAGACTTTACTCAGAGATTCTAATTCGAAGGGTCTGGAATGGCTTAGAAATCTGCATTTGGCTCGGCGTCGATAGCTCAACCGGCTAAGGCGCCAGCCATGTACACCTAAGGTGGCGGGTTCGAATCCCCAGCCCGGACCCGCCAAACAACAATGATGGCTGCAACCAAAAAATAGCCGGGCGTTGTGGCGGGCACCTGTAGTCCCAGCTACTTGGGAGGCGGAGGCAGGAGACTCGCTTGAGCCCAGGAGCTGGAGGTTGCTGTGAGCTGTAATGCCACGGCACTCTGCCCAGGGTGACAGCTTGAGGCTC